GATCTTAGTATCACGTCCCTTACCATTTCACTAAAATCTCATTATGTCTGAATCGTTTGAGACAGTGTAGAGTGTTGATGTGTACGGGATTAATCTAAGAAGGAGCAGAATAGAACGATGTATCTTTTCGGCAATAATGCATTCAAAAACTTAACATTTATTACTGCTGATTTCCGATAAGCTAATATTATTTTCATTTTCGAGATGATACTGAAACATAGAGGACTAGGACATAACTATCCTACCACTAATTAATTGACCTTGAGACAATCGGCTCACCAGTTTTTCAGTCGAAGACTGTGAAACGGGCAAAGAGTAAAGTCAAGTATAAAATTTAGTCATGAACGATTTCATTTATCGATTACTTTCTTTGTTATATGTTATGTGTGTTTGGTTTCTGGATTCAGCGATTGATTGCGACTCCATTATTAATAACAAATCTGTAATGGATAGTGTATGAGAGAGAATGGACGTATCATTCTGATGAAATGTACCGTTTTCTGTTCAATTTCCAGAAAATTGCTCAAACCTTTCGGCATATTGAGACGTATCATTCTCGGATATTTGAGAGTACCAGTTCGATGATGAATCCGCACTTCTGCTGTAAAACCACGCCATGCTTTTTCCATATATACTTGGCGGATCGGTACCTTTGCGAAAGCACAACTAATTTATTTGTTTCATGACTAGTGGTTAAAATTTTCTTAATTAGTTGGCAGTTTGGCAGTTCTAAAGGATGGATTGGAACCTGTAAAATATTAATGCATTTTGCAAGTAGAGGTTTCACATTAATCCGACCAGTCTCTATATCACTGCTATTTCTTGCCGTATCATGTTTTGTTTTAGCATTTTGCTCCAAGAATGCTGCTTTCGTAGCTGCAGAGTTCAAAGTTATTCATAAAGCTTATCACCTAAACTGATCCTCTAGAAAAAGTTTAGGATTTAAGGGAGCATTAAGGATAAAGGTGGGGGATATCAAAGAAGTACAAGCTATAAAAAATTGGAACCGTTTTGTTTCCATCGTGGCGATTTTCAATTTTTGCTACAATATTCAAAAAAATATATTCAAATATTCAAAATATATTCAAATATTCGAATATTCAAAAAAAAAAAAAAGACGCAATAAAAATTTAGATGAAACGAATGGATTGGGGAAGTAGTTAGATATTGGAGACTGGATGAAAGAGTGACCATATAGTGAACAGTCATATAAACCGTATGAAAACCGATCAGTCAGTTAATTCGGAAACATCGTCTTTGCGTCGAGAAATACTAGCATCAAAAATATGTAGCAGAGAATTGCGCATATGGCAAAATTTGACGAGAAATGTATTCCAAGAGCCAGTAGTTGTAGACTATGAGTCGACAATAATGGAAGTGTTGTGCAGAACGTTTCGGTGAAATGTAATGGGCCGTTTCAAAATTGTTACTTTGGATTTCATTCGGGGAAAAAGAAAATGAATGGGGAAAAAAAATGGATTACGAACTCAGCTAAGAACAGAGTCGATTTTGTTTTTTACTCAGTTATGCCATTTCCAAAGGAAAGTTAAGACTAAATGCAGTGGTGGATGTTCATGACTGTAGAATTTCCAAACCTGGAAGCAAATATGAAAAATATCCACATCCGCATGTCCTTGCCATGTCAGGTTATAGATATTCTGTCCCTCGTGATTAAAATAGACCTGAAATCTCTCGAATCTGTCTACCGCAAAAGCAATCACAAAAAGACTTCCCCTACTGACTGACTACAACATCCCAAAGAACATATCTTACTATCGCAGCTAGCAAATTTCACAACCGTTCCCAACTCTTTTACAAAATACAGTGAGCCAATAGTATCAGTGATGCTGCTATAAGTTGTTCCACCATGTTTCAAACGTGCAAACCGGGAACCGAATTGCTGCTTAGACGAAGTGACGTTTTCGTGAAAGACCGAGACCAGTTGTCGATATCAAGTCCTAAGATGACAGCTAACAACATGTGAAATAAGAACGTACTCAACACGGGTTGGGTAGCTTGACATTTAGAAAATAGGAAAAAACTATGATAAATGGATAACTGTGCAATCACATGTACCAAATATAACGCAAGTAAAACCTGTATGAGAACACAAACCTCACACTGCCTGTATTCACTTTTGAGTATTTCCACTTCAACAATTTTTCTATATACCACTTTTTTAAATTCTCTTACGCAGTACAAATTAATAAAAACTGCTTTTATCTGCTCGAAACAAAAACATTTGACATTTACAAATAAAGAACTAAACAGTGGTAACTGATAACTTTGACAAATAAACAAATACGCTTAAAATTCAAGGAACGCATGAGAGATAGATCAAATTTAACAATAAAAACCAATAAATCCTTCAATCCTCAGTTAACCACTTCCGATTTGGGGCTCTCAGTTTCCATTGGTGTTGTCCCTAGATCTTCATTTGTTTCAATCTGAAATGGGTAGTGCTAAAACCTATCCAGGCACAATTTTTCAAAAACTTCCAAAATTCTAGTTAAATATAACCTTTTCTTTAGCAGTAAATTTTTCGAACATTCCCTTGTATCGCTTTTTCTCCTTTTCACGAATTTCAGCCAACTTTTTCTTGCATGCCACTATTTGCGCTGCCGCTGCCTAAAACTTATGGGTTATGATGATATAATAGAAAAGCGAGTCCACAAATGAAAAGATCATTAGTATCACGGTAGATAGAGAACCTTGTTCTCTGGTTCGTATTCCAGCACTTTTTTATACTCAGTAATTGCTTCATCAACATCGTTTTGCTCTTGAAGTGCCTGAAATAATACCTTGGAAACCATTATAATAACCTCTTCAGAGTGAGACAGTCGAAATAAAGGCGAACAATATCACTTGACATTAGATTTTACAGAAAATTACCAAAGCCTTTCGATAGAGTGCTTTCACACATTTCGGATCTATTTCAAGCGCTTTGTCACAATTTTTTATGCATTCCACTGTTTCATCTTGCTTCGCGTATACAAGGGCGCTAAATCAAAGAAAACGAAGTTGTAAGTTAAAATTAAAAGATAATGAATACGGACTTCTTAAAGACTGACTACTCTCAGAAGATCCACAAAAATAAGGATCGGAACGCAAGAACCTGTTAAGGTAACCGGCAAGCAACAGCGCATCCCGCCTGCTTTTGGCTTCATTCTCCAAAGATTTTTCATATTCCAGCAGTTCGATAACGCGCATATACTTTGCAGTTGCAAGGCGCATCTTGCCTTGTTTGAAAAACATTGTACCCCTTTCTTTGGCAGCTTCTGCAGCATCAAGTTTTTCGTCACCAGTCAATTCCCACGACGCCTTCATCTGAAAACGTAACTTACTGATTTTCTAACAACATTATAAAATTCTACGCTGTCCACACATGATGAATTATAGGCAAAAAAAGTGGAGACCGAATATAATATAAAAAAACACCTTCTCATATTCCTTGAGGAATAAAGTGAAGTCAATTTCAGCATGGGACGGCAAATTATACTCCGGAGGCGGAGTAGCACCAAACGTGAAACGGCTTCCTTTGAGATGAACTGTGGACTTTTCGCCTTTGTTGAATCGACGAAGGGCGCGGTCAACACCTTCCGGCAAACCCACCTGAAGATATTTATTTTGAAAATATATAACTTCAAGCTTTTTGGACCCAATAATTTGTTTGCAAAAAGCATCAGTATATCGCTCTCAAGGGATGTGATCATTGCATATTGGTTAAATGCTTATCCTCGGCCTATTGTCATCATTTGCATAAATCCATAAATGGATAAGAAGCATTAGGCAAACCTGAACCAAAAAAATTTGTTATACCTCAGAACCTTCTCCCAAAATGAAACTGATTTCCTTATCGTAAAAAACTCGACCATTGTATGAACCAACGGCACATACTGAAACAAATGTCGACTTCATCCATTGCCGGTGGTCTCTCCAGCAATTCTCCTTCAAGTTGTGAATAGGAAAGAAAATCCCTTCCAAAGAAAACACGCGTTACTTAGAAAGATAATCTAGAAAATACAAGTAAATAAATTTAACCACCAACCTTTAACAGTTGAACCTTCCGTGGGACTTGAGTATTTCTCACCTTCCACAATGATCGATCGGGTGATTGTACCGTCTCGGTCCGGCGAAATATCTTCTCCTTGCCAGCTCAGTAATTCAATCTAAAAAGATTGTATATATATATATATATATATATATATATATATATATATATATATATATATATATATATATATATATATATATATATAT